AAAAAAAAAAAAAAGAATCCAAATAACCTGAATTCTCAATTAACTAGAAGTTGTTTTGTTCTATTTTGTTTTGTTGATGTTTCTTCTACTGAGGAGAAAATTAAAAATGAACTAACATCTACTTAAGTGTTAAAAATGAAACTCCAGGAGAGCTCCTAGGGTCAGTAATGATCCAGAGAACTCTGCCGATGGTCAGCGTGCTCCTGGCCTCAAGGCAGACCCCTTGGTCAGCTCCTGCTGAGCTTGACACTGTACCTTCATGGGGGCCTGAATCTGTGCTTTTTACTCATCGTGGTGTCGGGAGCTCCTAGTATGGCGCCTAGCAGAGACGCTCAGCAAATAGTCCCTGAATTATTGAATACACCAGATACTACCTCAAAAATTATTCTGTATATAGCCTTAAGGGCAGCAGCTTCCAACCAACAAATCAGGGTAGGCTGGAAAGATACAAACACTAGGATACCCTTATCTAGATTTATCGTGTATGTACAGCCTCCCCACACCGTGAATCCAAATTCAAAATGATGGCTTTGCGAGATTCTTAGCCATTCTACTCAGCAGCACTTGGTGAGCCTCGCATCACAGAGAGCGATTTCATTCTAACGTTTCCCTCCGGTGGTTCTCAAAGGGACGGTGCCGCCCCCTGGTGGCCATTTTGGAAATCACGGGGAGTTCCCCGGTCGTCACCGTGATTGCAGGGCCGTTGCCAGGCGGTTAAGGAGTCGGGAGCCAGACGTGGCAGACACCCTGCGATTTGCAGGGACGTCCCACGCAACCAGGAATTGCTTAAGCGTCACGGAACTTTTCACGTCTCACTGGAAATTCAATTAGATGAAAAGGCTATTTATAGTACAATAATGATCTGAGCTGAAGCCCAATTCCATTTATGTATCAACACAAAATATCTTGTAGTTGAGTATTTTCTGCACTTGTCCAATATCCACTAAATTTCCCAAAAACACACGTACTGTATAAATAGAAATAAATGTGTACATTACCAAAAATTCTTCACCATTTTAGAAAACCACATTACCAGAAGCAAAGCTATTCACAGTATTTGAGTTGCCGACCAAAGAACACACCAAAGTTGGCCTGTTTTCTGCTGTAATATCCACAGTGTTTGCTCATTTTGACCTGAGCATCTGAGCTGTACTACTAATGGAGCCATGCTACATAGTCACATGGGGAGTTATGTTAATGATAAATTACTTAACTTCCATTTACCTGATATCCTATAGTTACAGAATTCTATTTTTTAAAACATAGATGGGTAAACATATATAACATAAATGAATCTATGAACTCATTTCAGAATCGTAAAGTGTTTGCTATGAAGAGGACTCGTGGCTGAAGGGATCAAACGCTTCTGTTTTCCTTGCTAAGAAAGTAGGCAATGATGCTGAGGATTATTTTTTAACCTTGTGTTAACATTTTCTTTTCCAGGACTTTTGTGCCAGCATGTTTCTTGAGGCAAATGAAACACGTCTACGTAAGTGAATTCACTTTCATCTCAGTCGGTTCACTGGGGGAATAAGTAGGTTTCAACATGACAGAGCAGAGAAAACCACACAATTCCAGCTCTGGAAACATCCAGACTTCTCTGCATTTCTAGGTTTATATATATGAAGGGGGACGGCTCGGTGCCTGTAGCTCAGAGGCTAGGTCACCAGCCACATGCACTGGAGCTGGCGAGTTTGAATCCAGCCCAGGCCTGCCAAACAACATTGACAACTTCAACCAAAAAATGACTGGGGGCTCGGCGCCTGTGGCTCAAGCGGCTGGGGCGCCAGCCACATACACCTAAGGTGGTGGGTTCGAATCCCCAGCCCGGGCCCGCCAAACAACAATGATGGCTGCAACCAAAAAATGGC